AATATACCTCAGCTTTCGCCAAAGGAACATCTGCACCGGAATCGGCAAAACCTGTTCCTGGAGATTCCCATCGAAGGACCGGCGTTTATGCATGTTTCCAGTAGAAACGTCTAAAATCGTTCAGACCCCCCGGGTTATAGACGGCGAGAAATCCAACGCGTATTAAAGAAAAACGAAGAAGCTATCCATTATAGTATCTGGATGCCACGTGTCTCACCTGACGGTAGCGAATACTCTTTCGTTCACTTCCAAACGACATCAGCCGGGTTCTCTCGCGTTACGATCGACACGCACGGAAGGGCTCGCCCTGTTATCACCCCGTAAATCAATCTCACCCAATATCAGAACGATCTGCTTTTCACCTGCGCCCGAACACGTTGCGCTACTACGTACCTACGTTCAGATACAGCGACGAAGGGGCTGGGGATCGAGGGAAAATCTATTCTCTCAAAAGGTCGATCGCGCACGTTGCCCCCGAAGATTCGGCGAAGATCGCATCTCCGGGAACGATTAATCGACGGCGGAGGAACAAGGAAAAACGAGTAACCGTGCGGATCAGGTATCACGTGCGACACGCACGGCCTAGTGACACGGTTGCATCGTTTCTCGTGAACAGGTACGCACTCGCCGAAGGGCGGACGCACCACCGCGGCAGGATCGTGAGTAACTGAAAGACAGACTCGGCGGACGTAATGCTGTTGGAAAGGATGGGAATGCGCGCGCTACTCTTGGAAAATCCAATGCGCCGGTCGTTCCATCGATCAGCCCAGGAATCTGCTCCGCTGGACCACCCCTACTTCACCAGGAGCGACCCACCCTTCGCACCGGCGTGCCTCTACCAACCCACTTACCCACCTAGCCCACCTTCGCTTCAACCAAATCTTTCCGTCCCTCGGCAATCCTACTGATCTGAGCTTCCGCTGAGCATTTCGCAACATCGTGTCATTATACAGTACCTGAGATTTCGGAGCGATCGATCACTTTCCCTTAGACAGAAGCCTCAACCGTTTCCCCCAATATTCTATTAATAACTCTTTTTATTGCAAAGGTTTAGGAATTGAAGCATAAATCATTACCAGTGAGAGTACAATTTTATTTCATGATCCATCAAGTATACAAAAGATAAAAGATAGAAGGGAGTACAGACGTTCGATGCTAAGGAAGAAAGCAATGGGAGTTACGTATAAGGAAAATTGCAAGACACCGCTTATTCAGCTTGATTGGAGGCCACTTCAGTATCACAAACGTCATCATTTCGAACGTTGGCGAATTCGCTGGCTCTCTCGAGGGCGGCGAGCTGCTCTTTCTCGGGATAAGGTAACTGCCTACCGAGACACCTCTCGACGTCGCCGAGTGTAATATCCATCTCGAACACGATCTCGTTACTGCGCTCTCCTCTCCGCCCCTCGTAGCCCATCGACGGAACGGAAGCGATTTCTATACAAATTTCCGTATAGCCGTCTTCCTCGCCGGCCACTCTCTTCACCTCGTCGTTAATGGACTTGCAAATCTCTCGCCACGACTTCTTCTGATCGGGATGCAGATTCTCAACGAACTGCTGGAAAGCCGGCCAGTCCATTCTCTCCGTGCCTTCTAAAACCTTCCGATAGAGCGACAGAACGTTGTTCGTCTTATTGAATCTCTCATTGCTGTTCGCCATATCTTTGAAAGACGATTCCCTGTAAAAAATTCGCCGGAAGATAGTCTTAACGTGGTCGCTTAACGAACTATTACTAGGAGATTTCGCGGTTGCCTCAATGTCCTTGGATTTCGACAACTTTAAGGACTTGATACTTCTCAGAGATGTTAATATTTGTCTTTTGAACGATTTTTTACTCTGGTCCCGATTCTTCTTCGAATTCGATACACTCGTTTTATTCTTTATCGATTCTCGACTAGTCCACGCCTTGAAATCCTTCGCTATACTCGGTCGATCGAACTTCGTGTTATTCCCCGTCATCTGATTTGTACTATGAGCTTGCAAATAGCTTTGCCCGTTGATTAACGTGTTCGTTAGCATACAGTAGCCACACGTTTCGTTCGTTCGAAACGCCCCCGCATCCAAACCGATCGCAGACGGTTTCGAGGTGTAAGAACTCTTGTACGTCTCATAAACGCTGCTCTCCTTACTGCCCCGCGGAGCTTTCACCCATTTGCGTATCATATTTTCCGCCGACGACGAACTGAAGAGCGTCGTGTTGCTTTCATTAGCCTGTTCCAAGCCGGACGACGGCTTCACACAATTTTCCAACGAATCCTCTTCCATTAAATAAGTGAAACTCTTGAATTCTTGAGCTTTACTCGAGGACTCCACGTGCCTGGGACGCTCCGCGTAGTTCAAAGAACTTTTCGACAGCATCTTCGAGCTGTTCACGACCTTGCCGGATGGCATCAGTTTATGACACATCAGAAATTCGGAATTCGGACATGGGTCGCAGTCGCGTTCGTTATGTAGAACGAAGCTACGGTTGTTGTCACGTCTAGAACGTGCGCAACTCCTATAGTCCAATTGCGAAACGAAATCTTTTTTTCCCCTGTCCATTGATCTAAACTGGCCGGAAGCCAAATACGACATTACATCAGCGGACGGTATTCTAACTGCATCCGTTGTACTCTGTTTACTTTCTATAGCTTGTCCATCGTTCGCCGATGCACAAATTTTCTCTATAAGATTATCGAAACGCGACTTAGGATTTTCATACAAGACGTCTCTCACGACTCTCTCGCCCGATTCCTTGACACCGGGCCGCTCCCTGCTCGAAGTTCTCCACTCGTTACGTTTATTATTAGACACGTCGCCTAGAAATTCTCTTTTATAGTCTACCGAATTAAAATACCCTTCACGTAAGCAAGTGCTCGTAACATTGGCAGCGGTGTCACTTTTGGCTTTGTCTCCCTCCTCGCAATTAGAGACAATTCTCGGTTGATGAGACGCTCCGCTCTTAGCTTTCCCTTTACTGATCGTCTTCCCCGTCTGCGAATTTCTAATCTGTTGATCCTGCGATTCCAATCTATCTTCTTCCTTTGTCGTCGCTCCCTGCGTAGAACAAGTTCCTTGTGTCTCGCTGTCGTTCTCTCGTTCCGCTACCATGATTTCCACTTGCTGAGGACTCGTACGGAGATCGTTGTCCCGATCGATGCTCAGACTCATCCCCCTCCCACGTCTCTCTTTATCCCAGCGTTTTTGGTAACCAGCATTCCCATCTTTTAGCAAATCATTGCGTCTCTTCGCGTCTTTACTCAATCTTCGCTTGTACTGCATTTCCGATTTATCGTCACCGCTGCTAGCAATGTCAGGAAATAGTTGCGTGCTCAAGAAATAAGAAGTCTTCGGCGGCGATGTCCGCGAGTCCACGGAGACACCGCGCTGCTTCGAGCAACTGATCACTCCGCAATGCTCGCAGATTTTCATCGTCGGGTCGTTGGATAAAATCTCGTTCAGAGTTTCCCTACTGCATCGGCGAACCATCGATTGTAATCTGTTTAATATATCGTGAAATCGGAACGTGGACAGCAAGGAATTCCTCGAAGCCGATTCCTTCAGCGAGTTGCAAATTTTGTACGCCGCGCCCAACTCCAGCAATGGACTCTGATCCGTGTCCTTGCAAACCTGATCGTTCGACCTGGCCAGGACTTGGTTTATCGACTTCTCCATGCTCGAGTTGCAGGCGTAGTATCGCAGCAGCAAATCGATGTCTAATGGCACACTCGTAGCTCGGGGCGAGCCCGGCTTCTTCTTAGAACGCGTATAGGATTCGATGATCGGCTTCGAATTCGATGATTGCTTATTGCGGGAAACTTTCGAGGTGTCGCATTCAGGGATCGTGCTTAAGGTTTTGATGGAGTATTCGCGCTCGGCGTTCGGTATTTCTCCGACAGATTCAAAGATTCTTACTTCTATATACTCATTTTGATCCATCTTTAATAAATAATCAAGTGGCCCTTGATGTTAGTGAACAATTATGATTTTTGTATTGTAGTTTGAAAGGGATTCTTCTTTCATATTGCAGACAGTAATTCGTTTTACAGAGTACATTATATCAGAGTTCTCTGACAGAATCTTCCTTTCGACACGATTGATCAATATGTTTTGAGGAATTTTGATGGAATCGAGTATTGTCAAACGACACTTTGCGGTTCTGTAGGTTAAGACTTTTTATAAATGACTGGCATTGATTTGCGAATGGAATTGGCAATAGGTCAAGAAAATCTGTAATAATGTAGAGATTAATAAATATTTAAAAAGCGAGGGTAGGAGAAAGAGCTTGGAAACGTACGGTTCAGCGTGTCCCGCCACCTTCCATCGTATGAATAGACATTATGTAATATAAAATCACTTCTAGGGTGTCGACGACCCTACACGAATTTCGTATTCAATTCATATTTAATACTTATTATTAATTGATTTATGAAAGAAAACTGTTGGGGTATTACAGTGGAAAATTTAATAACGAAATAGTAAGGGAAAACGTGCGGGAACGCGTTGTGTGGTAAGTGGAGAAATTCAAGTGCACGCGTGTTTGCCATGCACGTTGGAAAACATGACGATCGTTACCGACGACTTCAGTTCCTTGCCGAGTTGACAATGCCACAAATTATGGTCGAAGCCTTTGCAAGAAGTTTAATTGACAGGATCATGCTGGAAGCATTCGACTTGATGGACGTTAAAAACGGTAGGACGCCATGGTTTCCCGTTAACAGTGCATAGATAAAATGGAATTTCATTTGAGAAACACGTTTCCGTTATGGGTTTTACGAATATTCCTCGCGTTAGCAATTTTCTGTTATCAAACCTGACGCGTATTTTAATTTAAGTCCAATATTAGTTTCGTTAACGTCGATGTTCTCTTTGATAAATTGAATTCTTTATGGAAATTAACGTTGCCAGAAGAATTAGAAATTCTGGAGGATCGGTCGGAATCGAGTGAGAGGCAGCCAGAGTCCGCGCTTGAAACGCAACTTCTGGAGGACCGTTTGCGCGCGGATTATAGCAAGTTGGAGACGAACATACTGATAGAGAAGATGGTACACGGTTTACGTAAATTGCAAATCGGTGATTCAACCTCCGTACCCTCCCACCTGTCCACGTTGGAAAACCAGGTAGACCACTGGGGAACATTATTGACCTATCAAATAAATTAAATATTAAGGTTGTATAATTTATTTAATAAAAACACTGACAAAGCATCCAAATTTTAACAATTATTAGGTATAATTACTAGATTTATATATAATATATATAACAACATGTAATAATAATAATATAAAACATAATTAGATATATTAATAAAAGATTGTGGAAAATTTTAGAAATTTCGTGAGGCTATTGAAAAATTTATTTCTTTTTTCCTTTCTAATTCACTCCTAATTCCAATATCTTTCTTTCCAACATTACCTATTCAGGGACTTGCCTACTTAATCCCTAAGCTATTTGATATACACATGTCACATGCATCATTTCTTCAGTTCCTCTTTTTCCTTAAAGCCAGTGAATGTATGTATTTCGATGATTCATTGAACGCAGTGAATATATGTATTTCGATGATTCACAGGTAAAGCACATGGTGCATAGCATCGAAAACGTTTCACTGGATCCACCCGAACTTACAGAAATGCGCACAATTCAGGGTCAAGGCGATGTGCACCAAATAGTACACGACGCAGTTATCGAGACGACGGCGTCGGACCTCGCGCGTACGCGTCCGGAAATGGAGAGCGACAATACAAACGAGGCGACGAGGGTGTCTACTAGTCTGCTGTATCGTATGATCGAGGAGCTGGAAACAAGGGCAGAGGAAGCGAACCAAAGAGGAACGGACGACGAGCCGGACAGGATCAGCAAAGACAAGATCGCCGTTTGGGAAGAAAGGGAGGAACAATTCATAAGAACCATCGAGAGCGTCGACGATAGAGAGGAGAGCACCACCGATTCGACATCGGATTTCAGGAACATCGCGTGTGAACTCGATTTCGAGGGCACGACGTCCTCGTCGTTCATCGGCCATTCGACGCTGTTCGCGAGGAACGCCTCGTTGGAGGAAGTCGCGATCGAGGAAATAACGCCGTCGCCCATACCCGATCAGGAGTGTTCGCCCGACGCGTCAAAGAGAACGAAACATAAGTCGCCGAGCGTAACGCAGTCGGAGGAGCGGAAGAAGGGCATCTTAAGTAGGACACGGAAGTTGCTTCGGACCGTTTTCGGGCGTCGGAAGAAATGATTTCACCGTCGGCACGGACGTTCAGCTCTTTCCTCGACGGCGTTATTAGAACGATCGGACGAAACGTGCTACGTCCATCTTCAACGTCCAATTGTAAAACTAGTTTTTATAAAAAGAAATATAAAAAGAAGAAGGGAGACTGGGAGAGATGTGCTACCGGTTGCACAGCGTCGAGCTGATAAAAATAACTCCCTAATTTAGTCATCGGCTGGCGGCATAGTTTGCGTACGCCGAGCTCTCACCGAGTTATATGAGACGCGAAATAAGTTCCACGCGTTCTTAGGATCACCGTGGAAGAAATCATGTATCCCTGATATGCTTTTTATACAATATAATGATATTTTTGGTAAACGTGTCTTTAATTCGCTGGCTTGAGGAGATCTGGTCTCTTCGATAGGTCGCGTCTAACTGATTGTCATCGAAGGCCGAATGTGTATTTCTGTTTGCCGGAATATACTCCGCGTTCTCGCAGCCCTGACATACGAATACTACCGCCGAAAACCATTTACCGTAGCAGGAAGCACGGAGCTTAGCCCGCGATTGCCTCTCGAACTGTTTTTGGACCGCGGCGTTGCCGATACCCTCTTCGTTCGAGCCGAGCCTCTCGAGCCTGGACCCTCTTCTTGCGATTCTCGTGTGTCCTGACCACCGCGCCATCTACAGAAATAAAATGAATAAATTTGGTAACACCCGGTACCACTTTTGGTTCACGCTCCGTTCGATTAACATCTCATAGCAACAGATACTACAATGGTGAGTCTTTTTAAAGTTCCTACTCGAACCTTCTTTAATTGCAAGTAATTTCTCATTCATTTATTTAACATTCTTTCTTTTAAATCCGAATTTCGTTTTTAATAAACGAAAAATTTTTACTGTTAGAGAAAACTTGTTGGNTTTTATTTTATTCACATTAATTCTTATTGTTTTATATATTCGTTTAAAAAATGTTCTTTTTTAAAGTAATCATTTTATATTACAGGCGGATCTCAGTGCCAAGGAAGTCGAAAGTGAGTAATTGCATACGGAACGTTTTTCATTTGTGCGTACGTGTTCGGTATTCACTTGTGCCATTCGATATTTTACACGAAAAATCGGGACGGACTATTAAAATAAATTTCGAACGAAGTGAAGTATCGAGTGGATTCTACTGTTCCAAGTTTTCCGTGTGACGCAACGTGCCAGAAAATTTTCCGTACTATTTTTACTTACGCCTTGAAGAAAATAACTCAGGAACAAAATGCAGATTCAAAAACGTTTAATTTTTACACAATGAAATTCTAAATTGCGTAAAGATTTAAATATAGATTATTCGGGAACTGTAAAAATGTAGAAGAGAATAATTTTATCATTTCATCATTCGATCTGACATTCTTTAAGGTAGTGGATTTCTTTTATTAAAAAATGTGATAGGATGTATAATAGGGAAAATGGAATATTGAAAACGCATTTCGTTACTTTTATCGTGGCTCTTGATGCACAAGACAGTATCCCGATATACCGCGTGACAAGCATTACGTAAGCGTGGGTAACCGGCAAAACAGAGGTGTAACCACCCCGAATGGGAAGCGCCATTTCAAAAATAGTTAATGCCGTGTTCTTATATGGCTCGGCGGGGGTAATCTGACCCACTACTTCCACCAACGGGTTCTTGAATCGGTCGCCGGGTGGGAGCCGCTCCGGCTTAAAATAGAACAATATTTTTGAACCAGGTACGCACGAAGAGCCACGCTTCGTCTGATATTAACCCAGATTTCGCGTTCTGGCATTCTCCTCTTCAAATTTTCGTGGACACTTCCTCCTAAGTGATACACTGCCCCCTCGACCAATAAATTGTAACTTTCAGGAAGGATCTGCCAATTTTTAAATAGCAGGATCAACCCTAAGTGGAGAAGATCGATCGTACAATTGTGTATTATTTTATTTTTCACAGAGGTAGAATTCGCGTTTTCCATTTATGACGCCGATGGCACCAACGTCATCGACGCCGTCGACCTTGGCAACGTCCTTCGGGCCCTTAACCTGAATCCTACGAACGCCACGATTGAGAAACTCGGCGGTACGAAAAAGAAGGGCGAGAAGATGTTGAAACTTGACGAGTTCCTGCCGATCTACAGCCAGTGCAAAAAGGACAAGGATCAGGGATGCTACGAGGACTTCCTAGAGTGTTTGAAACTGTACGACAAACAGGAGAACGGGACGATGCTTGGTGCTGAACTTTCACACACGCTGCTTGCACTTGGTACTATAGCAATTTTTATCCATTCGTTCACCTCTCTTAGACTGCATGATTTATAATTAATACAAAAATTTTTACATTACAAATTATGATAAATACGGAGAGATTAAAATGTGAAGGTTGAAAGAATGAAAGATCTGAATCGCATTTTTCTTATATTTTTATTTGATGTCTAAAGGCAAAGATGTATAATGTTATTGTAATAAATTTTGTTAGGTGAGAAATTGGAGGACGCGGAAGTAGAGCAGGTGTTGAAGGATTGTATGGACCCAGAAGACGAAGACGGTTTCATCCCCTATGGTCGTAAGTATCGATCCCTTTCGATGAAAGGAAGACATGCATCCGGCGAAATAGGCGACGAGACAAAGAGTGGTAGACGAGCTGCACCAGCGTCACACATTAATATAGAGCGTTGCCTAGATTAAGAGAAAGAGCAGCAGTAGTCAGTTAAAAATGTCACTCGGTTTGTTCACCAAGTTTAGACGTTCTACCACTAGTAGATGTTGATTTTGATTTTACAGTAGAATGTCTAGGCACGAGAGATACCGCCCCCTTTTCACTTGTCTCCCCGTCTTAAAAAGTGTTGAGTAGTTTAGTCCCGTAGAGCACGTCACGCAGCAGCCGAAAATGCCCAAGGAGCTCGCAGGGATCGATCGGGCCCCAGACTCCTCTATTCCCACCGTTTAACATTTCCACGTGTTTTGTGTTCCACAGCGTTCTTGAAGAAGATGATGGTGCTATTGTAAGAAATGCCGGAGTGTCAGTGTCACAAATATCGCCCTTCGTAAGTACACCCTGTAGCGTTTCGCCACCGCAAGCATTTCCTCTTGGTTCTCCAACCTCTTCCTACTCTTCTGCTTCTACTCTTATGCGCTCATTCGTGTACGTACGGACTAACACGATTTCCCTCCGCGTTCTCCACCACGCACACGGTCTCATTTTGTAGGGCGCGACGAATCTACGTGGCAGGGATGCTGAAATCGATAACCCGCTTCTGTGCAGTTCTTACAGCAACAACTACAAACGCTTAAGATGTATTCATGCACGAGGTCCGTCGCTGACGAGTGTCGTTGACGCGGATTTCAGAAAACGGTGCTTCAAGCCGAACCGCTTACCGCGATCTCGCGGCGATCTCGAAATGTCTTATTTCCTCGAGAAAATTGAAATCGAACTCGTATAATAATGGACTTCGTAGCATGAAAAATGGTCTTTCGATCTTACGTTTCATTCTGACGAAACCAGCTGACTGTTCGCTCACCTCTGCTGTCGTCGATGGATCCTGTTCACTCTCTATCTGAATTACAGATGCTTTCATTACCATTGCTGAAGACTCGCGAGTGTACATGTTCGTAATATATCCGAACTCCAAATGCCTAAAAGGTTTTCTCAGCTTAGAACGTCTCCTCCAGAATTTATACAAAACGTAACCAGACATACAACGAAATCTTGCGAATTTCTTACGCTTATCATATTCAGTATGGCTTATTACTTGTGCGTCTGGCGACAAGTTCGATTGACGGTTCACGGCCAGTGGTTCCAGCCAATTACAAGAGCAGACGTTTCCTAGCGTTTTACACCGTCATTCGACTTGCGCCACATTTCCCTATAGATGAATTGTTAATGTACGTCGTTTGGTTTCCAGCGTTCCTACGTAGATTGTGCGATAGAGCAGCGGCAGAGGAAGATTGAAGTGACAACGTGACGACCGCAACGTCGGTATTCATTCGTCGGCGATATCCACGTCAGCGAGGGACATGTTCATACTTCCGTATATTTATCGTAAACTTAAACATCCCAAGTTTAAAAGGCCGCTAAAACCCGACACTTATAATAAACGACTAGATACATTCTGAATACTAACGCTAACTTCAATGGAAAATTATTTTTTAAAAAGAAAGAAACACCATCAGACATCGAGGTGGACGGAATGTAAAATTGAATCAAAAGTCGAGTGTAAAACGATTCGGTTGTAATTCTTGTCACATGACTCACGTCTATTCTTATTGAGAACGTCGTACAATATTTAATAAGTATATGTCTACTGACACTGTAAGAAACCGAATGTGGAAACACTTCTGTTATTTTAATTATTATTTGTTAATTTAATAAACATTACTCCTCGGGTGCAACGAGGTGAAAAATGACTGTCTCACGTTGTTAACAATTTTCTCATGGGAATTGACCGATATCCGCCGATTTGTACATCGTATTTCGTGCTGAATCCTCGAATGTTATCTTTTGCGATGTAAATAAAAGTATAAACATGTTTTGTATAAATTTATCTTTATGAATCATTTAGAAATCATATTATTTCATAGAATTTCCATGGAATTTAAAAAATGCTCAAGCCTGTTCATTTCAATGCCCCCAAACGTACGATTATTTAGCTTGCTAATAGAAAGTATTTCTAATTAACTGTTCATAAAGAAAGCATTTCTAGCTTGCACTTCTCAATTACTTTAATTCATCCGCTGTGGGAGCGAAGCTTTCGTCCTCCCGTCGCGAAAGAATTAATCACTAGTGAGGGGGTTGCGTCGCATTCGTCGGAAGGGGTGAATAGCCGATGCGCGCGGACCGCAGCCACGACTCCGTTCGCCGCTCGGCTCGTACGTGCAGTACCCGAAGAGTAGTTGCACGAACGTATAGCAAGCGAGGAGGATTGCAGCGTTCGTGAACGGTCGGCGTTTTCCGACGCTGAAGGCGTGGGGCCTTCGGGTGATCCCGGAAAGCCGCCGGCCGAGCCAGTCAGTTCAAACGCGTCGCAAGCGTTGCGCGTTTCGTCTTCAGACTCGTTCGCGTCGCATAGAATCGCAGACGGTATCTCGGTTTCAAATCGCCGGTTTGCCGGACCACCGATTCCCGCCGCGACGCGCGTACCGTACGACGTGGGCAGTGGGAAATCGTAGAAGATAAGGAAAGGAAAAAAATATAAAATAGAGGACCCAGCCTCGTAGACCTGCGACTCTCGTAACTGGCCACCGAGAAGATGACGGATGTACAGATGAACTCGAACAAGGGCGACGCCGGCAGCTGCAATTTGCAGCGGAACGACGTCGGCCAGCGAACAGGTTGGTCTGGCCTTCTTTTTCTCTAAAAACCTCGCGTATTTTTCAAAAACGAACACGTAGCTCTGGGAGCACAGTGCTTATCAGCGGAGTACGTGGTTCGCCATCTTGGACATGCTGTCAGGGGATCGGATGCTTTCCGTTCTACGTGATACATTGCAGCCCTCTCGTTGCGATATTGGCACGTTTAATGGGAAATCATTTTCATTTCGAAGATATCGACGGCTGTTCCACTTAGGGGATATCTGTGTTCGTATTCTGTGGTCGAGGGCAATGTCTGGCGAAGGGTGTGAATTTATGGGCTGGTTTATAGGGTCCAAACGATAAAGGGGTGCTGATTCGGTCGGAAAATACGACAGATCTTCTTTACTCTCGCATAGAAGTGACGTTAAATCGTGGTAGAATTTGTCGAATTGATCGAGCATCCGGAGAACGTTCTCGGTTAATTATTTTTGCCAAGCGCAGTGGATGCTCTCGAAGAGAAACTGTTTCCCTGGTAACGGTGGAAATGTTGAGAACCATTGATGGAGATGCAAAAATACATCGTATCGATTAGTCGGGAGATGATGAACACTTGTTGATAAAGCTTTCCACTTAGAAACAGCATCTGTACGGCAATGAAAATCTTTCTCCCCTCGGGTTTATAGTCGACAGTGGACGAGATGAGTATCGCGAATACCGGGCGGCATTGTATACTACATGAAAATGATTTGAAAGGCAGTAACTATTTTTCTAGCGCGGGAACAACGACAAACGCCATTGTTACTGTTAACTGTATCTGGAATAATAATCGTGCAATTAGTGGAAGAGATACGTAGACGTGTACGTATGTTTACGCCGGGGACTGTACAATGGCCTCGGTGTCCGGGGGCATTAGACTCAAAGCGATGAGAAAACCCGGCACGTAATATCGAATCGTACCACTGGGAAGTCTTTTAGACGCTGATTAACTTCAATGCACCGTGTTGCCAGACACCCGTACATAATTAATCCCTCATCTTGTCCTGGATTTACGGGAATCAAGATAATCGCTGCGTACCATTGTTGCTCGTAGTGTGAAGTCTCGGCGAAATCGTTACACATTCTGGGAACAATGACTCGACTCGTTCATTCAGTATCCGCGAAGGTGTCCTAAATTTTATCGAGGGCTCCCAATTCCACGCTGCGTCTGATATTGTTTTTATTTTTTTTTAATATAATGTAAAATGTATGAAATTCTTTCGTCCTGTTAATTACGTGAAACAATGAGAGATATCAATTAACTGGTATGCAAGTGTTAATTCAGGACAGAGGAAATCAGCAGTTTTACCTTGTCAGGGTGGAATGGTTCACCGAAGAAACGACTGTGTCAATTAGGAAATTGATGAACGGCAATGAATTAACGATGTTTTGTGGGCGTGTAATTGCGAAATTGACCGAGCTCACCTTCGATGATCGGCTTCAGACCATAATCGGATGACCCCCCAGCCCCACCCTTCCTCCCTCGTTCTCGCGTCTCAAATGGAGTAATACTTTGGGCCAACTGGCGTCCGCAGTTTATTTCTCGCTTCCGGCCAAATTTCCGACGTGTGCGAAGGGTCCCCGCCGAATATTTGCGTGCCAGTAGAACAGATTTTCAACATTCATATAATCATGTAACGCATTTGTAATAAAAATATGTTGTTCATTTGAGATCTGGCTTGTGCAAATTAAACAAATTTTAAAGAGTTAGAGTGCGTGATTTTTTTACCCAACGTAGCTCTGCTAGCATGCGTGCTAAAATGAATGGTTTGCTAAATTTCATGCGCATGACTAGCACGCAAGTACCTATCGTTACGCGAATGCTTATCGTTACACGAGTAGGGGGCCAAGGTCCTCCTCGTTACCTACGTCCCGCTTTTACGCCCTGCCGTGCATTGCGATTATTAGAACGATTTACATCGTACTCTCGAGTTCCCAGAATGTTTATGCAATAACGCCGCATCGACGATACCCGTCTTTCTCTCAATTAATGAATCGCAACATCTATTTTCAAAGGAATCAGGTTTGTTAATGGCTAATTTATTCCACTAATAGTTCGTAGTTAACTCCGTTTATCCGGGTTTAGTAGGTTTGCGTTTGAGTCAGGTATTCTAATAACAAACGTATCGAATGATCTTATATAGTTGTCTGACAACAGTATCTATTTTCATGTACTTCTAAGTCTTTAATAAGTAACCGTGCGAGCAAACCGTGTAGTTTACAGCTTATTAATCTCGACCGACGAGTTTTTAAATAACGATTCACTGAAATTTCATCCGTACAGCTTCGATTACTCGCAGACAGTGTTGGACATAATTTTAATCAGTTATGGACAAGACACATAAGAAACAATGTTTTATTTACTGATATTCAATATACTCAACAATACTTATTTAATAAATAAATATAACATTAAATCCAAGATAAAATGTTAATAAATATATCAGAACATCTAAGAAATATATTTTTATCATTATATGCTTAATATATTTTTTGATACGAGAACCGTACTTGCTTATAAAGATTTTCACCTTTAAACTATTCTATAAATCCTCGGCAAACAAGAGCTTAAGAAAGTTTCGTGTAGGGCAATGAAAAATCAATTTCCCCTCGTTCCCACTCGATCCAACCGCGTTGCAGTTATGAAACTCTTGACGCCGGTGAGGATATCGGCCAAAATATTGAGTATACCGTGTCCCGGCCGGAATTATTGACCAAACTCACGCGTAACCACCTGCGAACTTCGTCGGAATTGCATCGCTCCACGTGATTAGCGTTTTATGTAACCCGATAGCGGAGGCGAATTTCAGATTTATTGAAAGTCAATGGACGCCGAATCGAGTGGCTCGGCCGGGTTCACCGACCGGCAAACTTCTTTTGAATCTACCGTCGATGAATACACGGAAAAATGGGAGAAGCCCTCGACCCGCCTCGTTCAAGACGCACCTACACAGCATCCGTGATTATCTACCCACTTCTCAAAGCTTCGGAGGGGCTTCCTTCCTATGAGGGGTCGTACAGGCTAAAGGCACGTCGCCGTCGACGCGGACCCTAATGAGACACGATCTGATGATTCCAGTGCAATATTAAATTTGCGGGCTCCTCCCTTGTTACTGTTTTCTTTACGTACTAACAAGCCTACCGGATATTCCATTGCTGCTCGCAACAAGATGAACCTTGTAACGTATTGTAAATGACCCCATTTCGATTCACATAACAATCTCTACTCACTGACCTTTTCTTATATCATTTTTCATGTAATCGTAAGTTAGTGAACAAAAATTGGGATATTTACTCTATGTCAAATGTTTCAATCTTTTACAAATTCTTGACAAAACCTAATATGGATCAATCATAATTATATGAGAATTGATCGAATACCTAAATGGGAGATTTCAGACTTTCCAAGGTTTGAAAAAAGGAAATGAATGGAACAGTGTATTTTTTTTATCGATATGCATGTTCTCTTTATTCAGTCAACAAAAATATATTGAATTCTCAATTTATTCTCTTATGTATATGAAATAAATACGATTATTCGAGTGACATATGGAAACTGTTCTGAACCTTTAGACCAGGCGATTGAAAGAATGACAATGAATGGAAAAGTTACTGTTTTTTCTATTGACATGTGAGAGAGAGAGAAACAGAGACTCCTCCAATGCCTGTTTTCTCTCTTTTATGGGGTCAATAAAAATACATTGAACGCTCGGTCTATTCTCTTATACATACGTACCTATAGAATCAATACGATCGTTCGAGTGACACATGGAATCTCTGTATGATTTAAGAATTCAACAGTTTTCTTCCTACTTTGTTAAAGCAAGTAAAAATAGAAATTTTTAATGTTTTCACGGGATTTCAGAGCAACTTTGGAATCATGTCTATTCTTAGAAACGGTCGTTACAGCAATTCACGATTATGTAATAATTTGCCGTGCGTGTCTCCCGCGGAGCGCTGCACTACTTGGCCTTGGTCACATCTCTTCTCCATTCATGGGATAATTGCCAATAGTGATGGATGTTCGAATCCTAAAATTTATTTATAAAGATAAGAATTATAGTCTATTAATTAGATTAATTAATAACAATAATTTTAATTCTATTTTTAAAAGTAAGAATTTACATAAACTGATAACATTCTCGTTAATGTGATTTACAAGAACCTCAAGCAGCTTATCAGATAAGCAGTCATTGGTAATAGCATGAAGCCGTGTAATTAACGTTAAGAAGCGACTTGAATAAACAGACGTCCTAACGGTCGCTGTCATTAGCATTTCGCGTGCCGATTTTACATAGTGAATGAACGGTAGCATACCTCGTCGCGTCACGATTTTGGTCACAGGATGTTGCGTTCGAGCGAGCAAACATCTCGTAACGACTGTCTCCGAGTTAGGCGCACGTCTCTCGGGTTTTGTATCGCGTCGGTGCAACGCGCTTAATCTACATAACCGAAGTTGGTAACGATTTCCCTTAAAGCGAATCGAGCCAGTGCACCTTTCGGTATCAATTTGTCGCGTACGGAGCCGCATTCGGACGCCGGCTAGCCGCCCCTTCACCGATTTGTTCCGCTTTCCGTTAAAGGCCGCGCAGCGCTCCCGTAAACGCGTCCTCGGTACGATCAAACTCCGCAGCCAACGAGGCTTAAGCCGCGGCTCGATACACGCGCACCTGACATGTCGTTTCTTTCGAGCTGTGCAACCACCGCATACCGATAACGCCTCGATCGACGGTACACAGGTAAGCCGGTTACGTCAGATTTAAAATTGTATCGCAATCGCGTTGTCGCGCAATACTGATAAAACCAGTTGCTAATAAATAACAGTTTGATGTACACCGAATCCGGTCCTGATGGAAGGAAATTTACAGCTGAGGACAATGAATCTCATTTTCGATTTTCTTAATTTTCTCAAGGAAGACAAGACACGAATTAATTAATTTATACCTCATTTTTTCAATCAATTGATTAAATACTACTTTTCTATAATTGCTGAGATATCAGTTGATGATCCATTAATATTTTTTTACATTTTAATTACATTGTTAAAACGAAGTATGAAAAAATATGGAAAGAATGGAAATCAGTTTCATCCAAGGTCTTTATGATTAGATAAACACGTAAATAGTCATGCCAATAGTGATGGATGTTCGAATCCTAAAATTTATTTATAAAGATAAGAATTATAGTCTATTAATTAGTTTAATTAATAACAATAATTTTAATTCTATTTTTAAAAGTAAGAATTTACATAAACTGATAACATTCTCGTTAATGTGATTTACAAGAACCTCAAGCAGCTTATCAGATAAGCAGTCATTGGTAATAGCATGAAGCCGTGTAATTAACGTTAAGAAGCGACTTGAATAAACAGACGTCCTAACGGTCGCTGTCATTAGCATTTCGCGTGCCGATTTTACATAGTGAATGAACGGTAGCATACCTCGTCGCGTCACGATTTTGGTCACAGGATGTTGCGTTCGAGCGAGCAAACATCTCGTAACGACTGTCTCCGAGTTAGGCGCACGTCTCTCGGGTTTTGTATCGCGTCGGTGCAACGCGCTTAATCTACATAACCGAAGTTGGTAACGATTTCCCTTAAAGCGAATCGAGCCAGTGCACCTTTCGGTATCAATTTGTCGCGTACGGAGCCGCATTCGGACGCCGGCTAGCCGCCCCTTCACCGATTTGTTCCGCTTTCCGTTAAAGGCCGCGCAGCGCTCCCGTAAACGCGTCCTCGGTACGATCAAACTCCGCAGCCAACGAGGCTTAAGCCGCGGCTCGATACACGCGCACCTGACATGTCGTTTCTTTCGAGCTGTGCAACCACCGCATACCGATAACGCCTCGATCGACGGTACACAGGTAAGCCGGTTACGTCAGATTTAAAATTGTATCGCAATCGCGTTGTCGCGCAATACTGATAAAACCAGTTGCTAATAAATAACAGTTTGATGTACACCGAATCCGGTCCTGATGGAAGGAAATTTACAGCTGAGGACAATGAATCTCATTTTCGATTTTCTTAATTTTCTCAAGGAAGACAAGACACGAATTAATTAATTTATACCTCATTTTTTCAATCAATTGATTAAATACTACTTTTCTATAATTGCTGAGATATCAGTTGATGATCCATTAATATTTTTTTACATTTTAATTACATTGTGAAAACGAAGTATGAAAAAATATGGAAAGAATGGAAATCAGTTTCATCCAAGGTCTTTATGATTAGATAAACACGTAAATAGTCTATGTGTATATACTTTTAACTTTAATTTACATTTAACTAGAAAATAAAATCACGTTAGTAATTATTTCTCAGTGCATAGAATTAAACTTATTTCAATTTTAATACTTGAAAATCTACCCATATCGCAGCGTCAAATCGAGCAGAAAGTAAAGCCTGGATTTTCGTGTAATCGAATGGATAACTGCTTTCTTAATTCCGATATGATAACAACGATTATTATCAACGCGCCAAATTCTTGCTGCTGAGTCATAAATGTATGTTACCGAAATATTGATACAAGTCACAAAGAAGTGACTCTACAAACAAAATTAAGTCAAAAGAAAAGAATAACATTTTCTTGGATCGAACTTCCTTTTTCAATAAATCAGTAATTTTTCTTTTTACACGAACTGACTAACTGAAAGTGACGTTAGACTGGCTTAACATATGCTAATGACTGACGTCATACCTCGGTAATGAC